TGGTGATCCTCGGAGTGCTGGTGACATTCTCCCTTGCTGATTCTGTTAAGTTCCAGCCGACGGACGCTGCAGCACCCACTTATACACACAACCATTTTTAATTCAGAAACGTGTGCATTTGGATTGTACACTTGAGTCCTGCAGAATGGACACTTGGCAACTATGCTTTATTCTAGTTCTAAACCTAGCCAAGAAAACATTCTGAAGTACACCTAACCTGCATCTGCTATAGGGCATGGATTCCCTTGCTTCAGTGATCAAGGCTTCCTGCACATCTGTCTATGAAGATGACACAGAACTTTTATAAATCAAGTTTTCCCTTCAGGTGCCTTCTTGCCAATGAACATGATTGCTAATAAGACATTTTTATATCTCCAGCTTTATGAATAATCATCGTCCTGGGTGGGTGTCTGTGGAGAGGAAATGGATTGCACACAGTGATTGCACCTGTCACTTTCTCATCATTGCTAGGTCCTCCCCTTTGAATAAGTTGCCTGATTAGAGGGTAGACTATATGACCTTATTGCACAGAATGTCTGACTCACAGATTCCTAAATAGAGAACAGATATAGGACACGGTTGACGCACATGCACAATATGAGCTCACTGCAAACTGATGATACAGATCTCTGTCCTTTTATCTCCAAAAGCCTGCCAATGTATTTTTATTGGAGTGTTTACGGGATTTCAACTGAATAAGCAGTTTTGGGTTGAATGGGTCCCTAATTTCTTCTATTTAATGCAAACAAGAAATGCATCCTTGGTAGGATGTGAAGGCTTTTGTTCTTTCTTCTTCTTCATACCAACACTAAAAATCACATGATTCAAACTTTAAAGAAGCAGGTTGCATATCCAGGTAAAACAAAGATACATAAAAAATAGGGTTTTCAAATTGCAACACCTCCTGACATTGCTGTGTGTTTAATCAGCCGTTCTTCATTTCCCGATGAAGTCAAATATGGCACTTTATAATGTACAGAATTATAGTTTTAGGTACAGACAAGGAGCTAGACATTAATATTAAAAAGAGATGGGCTTATACAGCCACTTTATCACATTATTATCACTGAGTATTGCTGTAAAATATGCTTACTAAAAATCTTATTGATGTAATGCTGACTATATTCCTGATACTGTAATGCATCAGAAAAAGTACACTGATTATTAAAGCTGTAAGTTATTAAACTTACTCTATCAAAATATTTAAGGATAATAAATGAGGCTCACCAACTGTGTAATTTTAAAAGGTCATGGATACATAATTTTATTCCATACAGACATTTAATTTTTGCACAGAATGCTGAGAATAGCACCTTAAAATGGACTTCATATGTGTGAAAGAAATGTACAAATGCACAAAATTCCATTAAATTCAAGCTGGAGGATTGTGTAGGCCATCACTTTTCCTTATGAATTTTAGTTAAGGTAGTCTCATGTTCCTAAACCATACATCTTTAATGTTTTGAGTCTTTATATCTAATGTTGAGAAATTTTCCTGCTATAATATAGCAATATATTTGTAGGCAGCACAAGGCAAATCTTCCTCCTAAGGGTAGTTTCACACAATTACATAAAATGCATAGACAATATAGAGCTAAATACAATGTACGCAGCTGATAAAATGCTCTCAGAAATGTTAATGACAAGAAAAAAATAAACTCTTCTCAGCAGCTGTCAATTTAAAAATAATTGGTTCTATTCAATGAAAGTTCTAATGTTAATGTGTTAATACCTAAGTGCAATGATGCAACCAGATTTCATCTTGTATTGGTCTGACTTAAGCAAAGTGAATTTTAATTGGTTACTAGGAAGTGCCTCACTTCATAATTAGCACACAATAAACATTCTTTATGTAGTAATGAACCACTTGGTACATTGAGTTCTCTGTTCTTCTGCCTCAACTCTGAGAACAACCTTAGCCCACTGACACACCATGTTAAACAAATATGTACTGCACTGCTATCAGGAACATACGTACAGATACCCTGCACTCAACTAAGGTTCAGTATCGAAAAGCAAACATCAGACAGGTTACTTGCACATGGACCCAATATATAGTCACTGGTTGCAGCAAATATCAATACACACATAAATGAATAAGTAAAGGATTAGGTTAATCACAGTTCACTAGACAATATGTTCGCTAGGCTATAGCAGTATAAAATGGAGCTCTATGCAGCTAAATTAGAGTACACCTGGTAATCCACTCAATCAACAACAAGGAATGTCATTACAAAACAGTAACATCATTGATAATCAATACTGCAATACCTCCTCTGTAAACAGTGGGCTACAGTTAGGTCCACATATATTTGGACACAGGCACACTTTTAGTTTTTTTTCAGGTATTTACCAAAACATATTCAAGCTATAGTTATTGTCAGGGCTCCCAGGTATGACCAGAGGTGTGTGTGACTGAAGCAGGGAAACGCAGACTTCAGATATGTGATTAACAATGTAATTTATTAACACTAACAATACAAACATAAAACGCAGTGCAATACTAAACATAATACAATGCAAACAAACCCAACCAACCACCCACAGATAACAGTACATACAAGCAAGCGTCGTCAGCAGGCCGAGTCAATATCAATTGGGCAGGTAGGTACAGGGGGAGCAAGCGGAGAATGGTCGGGGTCACAGGCCAGGTTCAGCAGGTAGCAAGCAGCGTAGTACAGAGGGTCAGGCAGAGGGATGGTCAGGGTCACAAGCCAGGGATCAGAACAGGTAGCAAGCAGCGTAGTACAGAGGGTCAGGCAGAGGGATGGTCAGGGTCACAAGCCAGGGATCAGAACAGGTAGCAAAGGAACAGAAACAGGATGCAGGACAGATACAGGGCCCAGGACAAACACAAACACCAAGGCAGAGTCTGCAAGTCTGGCCATCCCTTAAATACACCAGTATCATCAGTTCCAGGTGTTTAGCTGGCTGAAAGGTTGAGTCTCTGATTGCTGGGAGCACCCGCTGGCCAGCCCTGGTACTGCAGATCAAAAGGCAGGTGAGTCCCACCATTGCTGGCCAGTCCATTCCTGACAGTACCCCCCCCCCCCCCCTCAAGGAGCGGCCTCAGGACGCTCCAAACAGTCCTAGATGGGAAAAATGTTCCACCGCCCGGGGTCTGGTAACTGGCGGGATATCAAAGACTGGCACACCGGGCAGGACTCCGGGCAGCGGTACACCGGGCAGAGGCACATCGGGCTGGACTCCGGGCAGAGGCACACTGGGCAGAGCCACACGGGCAGAGGCACATCGGGCTGGACTCCGGGCAGAGGCACATCGGGCTGGACTCCGGGCAGAGGCACACATCGGGCTGGACTCCGGGCAGAGGCACATCGGGCTGGACTCCGGGCAGAGGGCACATCGGGCTGGGCACTGGACTCCGGGCAGAGGCACATCGGGCTGGACTCCGGGCAGAGGCACACGGGCAGAGGCACATCGGGCTGGACTCCGGGCAGAGGCACATTCGGGCAGGACTCCGGGCAGAGGCACATCGGGCAGGACTCCGGGCAGAGGCACATCGGGCAGGACCCGGGCAGAGGCACATTGGGGCTACCAGGCGAAGCGGCAGGCAGCGGGCCACCGGGCGGAGCGGGCAGGCACCGGGCCCCCGGGCGGAGCGGCAGGCACCGGGGCACCATCGGGCGGAGCGGCAGGCACCGGGCCCCCCGGGCGGGCGACAGGCCTCGGGCCCCCGGGCGGGGCCGACAGGCCTCGGGCCCCGGGCGGGGGACAGGCATCGGGCCCCGGGCGGGGCGACAGGCATCGGGCCCCCAGGCGGAAACTACAGGTCTCGGGCCCTCAGGCGGAGACGGCGGGTGCCGGAACCCCAGATGGAGCGACAGGCCTCGGGCCCCCAGGCGGGGCGACAGGCATCGGACCCCCAGGCGGGGCGACAGGCATCGGGCCCCCAGGCGGGGCGACAGGCATCGGGCCCCCCCAGGCGGGGCGACGGGCATCGGGCCCCCAGGCGGGGCGGGCGAGCGCCGGACCCCCAGGCGGAACTACAGGCCTCGGGCCCTCAGGCGGAAGAGCGGCGGGCGCCGGACCCCCGGGTTGTGGAGCGACAGGTCTCGTGCCCTCAGGCGGAGCAGCGGGCGCCGGACCCCCAGGTGGAGCGACAGGCATCGGGCCCCCAGGCGGGGCGACAGGCATCGGGCCCCCCCAGGCGGGGCGACAGGCATCGGGCCCCCAGAGCCGGGCGACAGGCATCGGGCCCCCAGGCGGAGCGGCGGGCGCCGGACCCCCAGCGGAAATCTACAGGTCTCGGGCCCTCAGGCGGGAGCGGGCGGGCGCCGGACCCCCCTGGGGTGGAGCGACAGGTCTCGGGCCCTCCAGGCGGAGCGACAGGTCTCCGGCCCCCAGGTGGAGCGGCGGGCGCCGGGCCCCAGGCGGATAATGCGACAGGTCTCGGGCCCTCAGGCGGAGCGGCGGGCGCCGGACCCCCAGGTGGAGCGACAGGTCTCGGGCCCTCAGGCGGGAAGCGGCGGGCGCCGGACCCCCAGGTGGAGCGACAGGTCTCGGGCCCATCAGGCGGGAGCGGCGGGCGCCGGACCCCAGGTGGGTAGCGACAGGTCTCGGGCCCTCAGGGCGGAGCGGCGGGGCGGCGCCGGACCCCCAGGCGGTGCGACAGGTCTCGGGCCCTCAGGCGGAGCGACAGGTCTCGGGCCCCCAGGCGGGGCGGCGGGCGGTAGCGCCGGACCCCAGGTGGAGCAGCGGGCGCTGGACCCCCAGGCGGAGCGACAGGTCTCGGGCCCCCAGGCGGAGCAGCGGGCACCGAGTCACCAGGCAACGACAGTGGGCTCCGAGTCAACTGGCATGACCGCTGGCACTAGGTCAGACATTGGATCGTCTGGCTGGACAGCGGGCATCGGGTCTCACAGGCATCAGGTCATTTGGCTCGACAGCGGGCACCGTGTCATCTGGCAAGGCAGTGGGCTCCGATGTCAACTGGTATGACCGCGGGCACTGGGTCAGACATTGGATCGTCTGACCGGACAGCGGGCATCGGGTCACCAGGCATCAGGTCATTTGGCTCGACCGCAAATGGGCACCCGCGTCATCTGGCAAGGCAGTGGGCTCCGAGTCAACAGGCACGACAGTGGGCACCGGGTCATCAGGTACCGGATTTGTCTGGCTCGATAGCAGGGCATCGGGTCACCAGGTATGACAGCGGGCACTGGGTCACCAGGCATCAGGTCATTTGGCTTGCCAGCGGGCACCGCGTCAATCTGGCAAGGCAGTGGGCACCGGGTCACCAGGCATTGGATCGTCTGGCTCGACAGCGGGCATCGGGTCACCAGGTATGACAGCGGGCACTGGGTCACCAGGCATCAGGTCATTTGGCTCGCCAGCGGGCACCGCGTCATCTGGCAAGGCAGTGGGCACCGAGTCACCAGGTACGACAGCGGGCTCTGAGTCAATTGGCACGACAGCGGGCACCGGATCAGGTACCGGATCATCTGGATCAACAGCGGGCATCGAGTCAACTGGCCCGTCCCAGGCTTCTCAGGACCATGAGTAGTGGCTTTCTAGCGCCCGAGTAGAGACCGGCATCTAAGGCTACGCAGTAGAGGCATTCAGGGCCGAGTAGAGATTCCCCTCAGGCCGTAGTACCTTTTGAGGTAGAGGCTTTCAGAGTCACCGAGTAGACGGCATCCTGCGAAGAGTAGACGGCATCAGGCACCGGCAGTAGACAAGGCCAACATTGGCACGTAGAGACAGGCAGCTGGCCGCAGTTGTCGGCCTATCAGGCTGTGCGAGTAGAGGCATCAGGCCGAGTAATACGTAGAGGCATTAGGCCCCAGTCTGAGAGAGGAATCAGGCTGCATACAGGCATAGTCTTCAAGGGCTATCAAGGACTGCTTCAGAGCACTCTCGGCCCATTCAGAAGCCAGTGCTGACGCCGGGTATCGCAATATCATAAAGCGTACCTTTTATTACAGGCTTAAAGGCTAAAGGCACGAGTCAGAGGACAGTCAGGCCCCTCCCTTATAGGCAAACAGCTTCATTTCAGGACCGCGTGAGATACAGGCCATAATTTAGGTGCTCAGAGCTAGCACATCAGGATCCTGGTCTTAGTAGAATCCTGGTGAGTCTGACGCCTATTAAGCCGGGCTTCAGGCCTGCACACGTGTAAAGTATCAGCCAGGGCCCTGATTCAGAAATACACGGGAAACTACAGGCAGGCCCCTTAAATCCGGGTACCATTCCAGATAATGATGCCAGGTCTACACGATTTCGGTATTAAAGGCACTTGGAAAATACCTTCAAAAAACGCACTTTAAAATTACGCGACTCATTTTACAAGCGCACTGCATTCATGTGTCTTAAAACGAAATCAATCCCCCTGCAACACGTATCAGGCTTTTTGTTCGTGGCTTCTGCCAGACGCCGCCATTCTGGGAGCGCACTTGCACGAACAGGAGTCGATCCGGCCAATACATGCCTGCTCTTCAGCATATCAAATAGCCAGGAATCAGAAGCCAGTCTGAAACAGTACCAGCTCACCGGCTCGAAAAGTACACCCAGCCATCAGGCCCTCCTGAGTAACTTTTACCCAAGATAAGGCCTAATCAGAAACTGAGTAACAGCAGGCGATCAGGCTGCACTGAGACCCCTAGAGGAGCTTCAGGCGAATGTAACCACGGGCTGAAAAGTGCATGTAGATAGCCTTCACACTGTGTTGATTACTGGCAGGAGCTGAATGGGGGGGATTTGCAGGAGTTGACACGAAGAAAACGCTCAGCGACTTTCACGTCTTCCAATGTTTTAACGTACTGGAGCCACTGCAAAGCATCCCCAAAATCTTTACCACGCCCTGCAAACTGACATTGGAACTAAAGCAGTATGGGGACAGTGAGCGAAAGCTAAGCATTACAGGATGGTCAACAGCCTGAGAGCCTCCAATGGGACAAATGTCTCTGCAAGTGCGTACTGCGTTATACCAGAACTGGGTCTCTTTTACAGTTGTCTAAAGTGCGCACGGATAGGTGCCTAAATAAAGCGCGTAGTGCGAAAGTACAGAAAACAAATGTTGATTCGCTCTAATACTGACACGTGGGATCGGTATGATTAGCCAAAGTGATGACTCCAATAAGCAATGTGACTGGGCAAATCTACAGGTATTAGCTGATGTGGCAATTCAGGAGAAACCCAGTAGATGAGATGGGATTTTGTTTTTGCAGGCCGAGCAGTAGAGGCTTCAGGCCGAGTTGAAGTTGTAGAGGCTGTCAGGCCCTGAGAGAGAGGCTTCAGTTGCGAAGTAGAGGCCTTACAGGGCGAGTAAGAGGCATAAGGGACCGATTAGTCTAGAGGCTTCACGGCCCGAAGTAGAGGCTTCAGGCGAACGTAGAGGCATCAGGCAGAAGCTAGAAGGTCATCAGGACGAGTAGAGGCATTCAGGGTCTGAGAGATTACCGCATCAGGCTGCATACAGGCATCTGGCTGAAGAGAGAGGCATCAGGCTGGTACCGGCATCAGGCTGAATGAGTAGGCATCAGGCTGCGTACAGGCATCAGGCCGAATAGTCACAGGGGACATCAGGGCTACTGAGTTGAGGCTTCAGGCTGAGGGCTTAAGGCTGTGTAGAGGCTTCAGGCTGAACCACGGAAGGCAGGCAGCTCACCTGGTTTGGATTAACTGGCTGGATGGTATTGGTTGGAAAATGAATTTTCGCTTTTTTCATGGTTTTAACTTACTGCGAGCACTGCAAGTAAACGCAGGTCTGCAAAACGAATGGAGCAGCTGGAGACAGAGGAAGAACTGGAGGATGGTAATAAAGAGAGGGAGCAGGGCGATACAGAGGGCTTTTTTACAGGTTAAAGGCAGGATAGGTGCAGCGTGTGGGAACAGGGTACTGACATGCGGTAGATAGCCAAGTATACTGGGCTGTAACTGGAGGATGCTGTTGGATAGGACAGGAGTAGAGTTAGAAGCAGGACTGGGTTTTTGTAAGCTGATCTGAGGCTGGGTTGCAATCAAGTACTGTCCATTGTCTGCAGTATGGGTTGAAAACAACAGCTGAGCGCTACCCGAACAAAGCCTGTTCTGGTCAATGACTGCACTGAGTTTATACATCTCTTTGTGTCTGTGCTAGTGAAACATGATGGAATAACGCTCCAGAAGTAACCCACATCATCCTCTTAATAAACCACACCAGGGACTCTTCTGACCTGGTCTGCACTAAATGGTGGCAAAAAATTCAGTCCTGAGTTCCGGGGTGCTTCGTGGAGTGTTTGGTACCAGATGAAACCAACGTCTGCAACAAACCTCAATCAAAAATGGCTGCACCTCAAAGAAAACTCTGTGCCCTGAATCTGTACTAGAAAATGATGCGAGCCGTATACATTCTAGCAGTTCATCCGGGGTATAATCACTTCAGTGTTTGATAAGCATACTCCTGTCATCAAAAGACACTAGCAGATATAAAAACGCAACCTCATCCAGATCACAATCCTTCCAAATCAAAAACAAGCCAAGATGGCTTCCTGTGCAAGCCCACTTCTGGTCAGGATTGCGCCTTGGTGTGTAATGTCAGGGCTCCCAGGTATGACACTGAGGTGTGTGACTGAAGCAGGGAAACGCAGACTTCAGATATGTGATTAACAATGGGAATTTATTAAAATACACTAACAATACAAACATAAACGCAGTGCAATACTAAACATAATACAGTGCAAACAAACCCCAACTCAACCACCCACAGATAACAGTACATACAAGCAAGCCGTCTCTCTGTCAGGCAGCCGAGTCAAATCAATTGGGCAGGTAGGTACAGGGGGAAGCAAGCGGAGGAATGGTCGGGGTCACAGGCCAGGTTCAGCAGGTAGCAAGCAGCGTAGTACAGAGGGTCAGGGGTCAGAGGGATGGTCAGGGTCACAAGCCAGGGATCAGAACAGGTAGCAAGCAGCACAGCGTAGTACAGAGGGTTCAGGGTCAGAGGGATGGTCAGGGTCACAAGCCAGGGATCAGAACAGGTAGCAAAGGAACAGAAACAGGATGCAGGACAGATACAGGGCCCAGGACAAACACAACACCAAGGCAGAGTCTGCAAGTCTGGCCATCCCTTAAATACACCAGTATCATCAGTTCCAGGTGTTAGCTGGCTGAAAGGTTGAGTCTCTGATTGCTGGGAGCACCCGCTGGCCAGCCCTGGTACTGCAGATCAAAAGGCAGGTGAGTCCCACCATTGCTGGCCAGTCCATTCCTGACAGTTATTATAATGGATATGGGCTGAAAGTGGACACTCTCGGGTTTAATTTGAGAGTATGTACATCCAAATTGGAGGAAGGGTTTAGGAATTACATGCATGGTTTCCAGTGGCACTGGGTCTTTGGGGTGTTTATTGATGATATGACAGATGACAGAAAAAAGACGGATGAATTCTGTAGTTTTTAGAGATATACCGTCAGCCCAGATTCAGCCAAATGCAGCAAAGTTGATCGGACGGCGCTTCACAGTACAAATGGACAATGATCCAAAACACACTGCAAAAGCAACCCAGGAGCTTTTGAAGGAATAGAAGTGGAATATTCTGCAACGTTCGAGTCAATCACCTGATCTCAACCCAATTGAACATGCATTTCACTTGCTGAAGGCAAAACTGTCAGGGCAGGAGCCGAGGAACGGACAGGCAGGCCTAACAATGTAACGCACTGGCTGACGACAACCACCACCCACAGACCGAAGTCCCTCAGGGCGCGGAGTCTAAGTCCCAGGCTGCCCTTCACCAGGGCCCTGATGGTGGGGATGGACTTGACGCAGCCAGGAACCAGGTCGCGGCCCCCGAGACACCTCAGCTGCGGTAATGGCCGCCGCCAATGGCGTGTTAGCTGGTGGAAGAGACAAAAGAGTAGTCAGACAGGCCGGGGGTCAACAACAAACAGGACAAAAACAGTACAGAACAGCAGACGAGAATCACAGGTCACGAGCCGGGTTCAGCAACAGAGGGTCAGATCAAAGGAGAATACAAAGAATAGTCAAGTCACAAGCCGAATCAGATACCAGGAGAGTCACGAGAGTCAGAACAGGAGTAATAGCAACACAAAGACACAAGACACAAGTGCAAAGAGCATCGCGTGCGGGCCACAGGCTTATATGTCATCAGCCACGCCCCTCTGGGGGATGGACCTCAGAGACCTGAAGGCATAAAAGGATTCCCACCATGCACAGCAGAATCCAAGATGGACGCCAGCACATGCAGTAACATAACCTCAGGGAAAAGGTAGGACCTTGACAAAAACTAAAGGCAAAAAAAACCACAAAGAACAACTGAAGACAGCTGCAGTTAGAGCCTGGCAGAGCATCAGAAAGGAGGAAACCCAGTCTTTGGTAATGTCCATGGGTTCCAGACTTCAGGCAGTCATTGCGAGTAAAGGATTCTCAACAAAATATTAAAAATGAACATTTTATTTTTTGATTATATTCATTTGTCCAATTACATTTTATCCCTGAAAATGGAGGGGACATGTGTATAAAAAATGGTTGCAGTTCCTAAAATTTGTACTTGATATTTATGTTCAATGCCTTGAATTAAAGCTGAAAGTCTGCACTTCAAATTCATTTGGATTGTTTCATTTTAATGTATTCTGGCATACAGAGCCAAAAGAATAAATAAATTTGTTGCCTGTGTCCAAATATATGTGGTGCACTCTATATGAATGGTAGCAAAGAAAAGTAAAACTTCCTAAAGAGGTACCTCTTACTATGGACAGTAGGCAAAGCTCTTGTGAAGCAGCTATCTGACAGCTGTATTTAGACCTAGTTCAGCGGCCACATTGGGGTCCAGTCTTTACAATGGTGTACATGAGTACAGTCCAAGTAAAGTCTGCATGCAGTAAACAATGCTGTTTGATAGCCAGTCTCTATGTGCTCAGTCCTAGTTAGCAGCAACAGGTTAATGACAGAAGTGTTCTTTCACGGTCCCAGTAATACAGCAACATGGGTCCTACTGTTCAGATGTCAGCTCACTTTTGGATCTGCCTGGAGCCACTCCAGTCTTCAGCACATGTCCACAGGCTTGTAGCAGGTCTATGTGCACACAGGAGCAGTGATGTGCACACTTCAGGCTTCTCACAGAAAAGAGGAAATCCCTTGGTGTTTAGCTGTGATAATTAGAGATGAGCGAAGTATTCAAAAATTCAATTCGGCGAATTCGAGGAATAAATTCGATTCGAGGCGAATATATTCACTGCGAATTTTAACCTATAAAAGGGTGTTTTTTAGGCTTCAGAGAGCCTTTATATTAGTGCAGAACACTGTACCTTTAATTTAAATGCCCTTGGAGTCTGCTGGGGAAGAGAAATAATACTGTCAGTCAGTATGACATGCAGATGAGTGCCGTCGATCTTAGAATCACCGCACACTTCACTCATTTGGGCAGTCACGGGGCCAAAACCAGAGTGTGGAGCCACAGTGTGGCGGAGGAGGCAGCAGCAATGGGAGGCCATACAGCACCCTATGACAAAATGGAACCCACCAGCAGTGTGAGGAGACCTGAAAGTGGCACATGGCAGAGTGTGGCGATGGAGACAGGGGGCAGCAATGGGAGGCCGTTACAGGGGACCCATGACACACTCTGGACCTGGCAGCAGCCATGAGGAGGCGGTACACAGGGGCCCATGGCAGATTAGAGCCTGGCAGCAGCAATGGGAGGCCCGTAATCTGCCAGCACCCTATGACAAAATGGAACACACCAGCAGTGTGAGGAGACCTGAAAGTGGCACATGGCAGAGTGTGGGCGATGGAGACAGCAGCAATGGGAGGCCGTACAGGGACCCATTAGACACTCTGGACCTGGCAGCAGCATGAGGAGGCGGTACAGGTGCCCATGGCAGATTACAGGCCTGGCAGAGCAGCAATGGGAGGCCCGTAATCTGCCAGCACCCTATGACAAAATGGAACACACCAGCAGTGTGAGGAGACCTGAAAGTGGCACATGGGCAGAGTGTGGCGATGGAGAGACAGCAGCAATGGGAGGCCCGTACAGGGACCCATGACACACTCTGGACCTGGCAGCAGCATGAGGAGGTGGTACGGGGGCCCATGGCAGATTACGGGCCTGACAGCAGCAATGGGAGGCCCGAAATTTGCCAGCACCCTATGACAAAATGGAAACACACCGCAGTGTGAGGAGACCTGAAA